CTAGCTGCGTCGACGGCACGGTGCTTATGCATGTGCTGCGCAGCGAAGGGGGCCGCCGGCTCGTCCACTTCGTCCATCTGTGTGTGTGGCGGGAGGGAAAAAAGGGCCCTTGGGCCCCTCTGCGCTTTTCCGTTTGCCTCTCCGGTTTATACTGAAGGCACACGCGGAGGAACGTACGCAAAACCTTCTCCTGCCGTTGCATCTGCCTTTTTCCCTTTAACGGGACGGCAATGCCTCGACCATCCTTCTTTCTTTGCTTGATGTGTGAGTGTTGAGTGCTCTCATTGCGCGGGCTGTTGGTGTGCGACGGCACCCCTTCTTTCCACTCCCTCCTCTTCCCCCCCGCTAGACTCTGTGCGTGTGTGTGTGTGCTGCGGTGGGAGGAGTGGCGATGGCAGGCCGTGTGCTGTTGGTGTGCGCCCTCTGCGTGCTGTGCTGCGCCGCCGGCGTGGACGTGGGCCACTGCACGGAGAGCAACTGGAGAGACTTGCGGGCCGCAAGGTGGCGAGAACTTCTGCTGTGGGAATGTGAGTATGAGTTCAGGAACGAGACTGACGAGAAGAAGACGGCGTCAATTGCGAACTGCAAAAGAGAAGTGGAGGGCAATATTTCTGCCGTGTTTGGCTCCGCTGGCCTTGAGAGCCGTCAGGATGTGCCTCCTGCGGGTCACAGCGCGGCGGGCGGCGGCGGCGGCGGAGGGCTGACCGGAGAAGCGCAGCAGCGGCAGCAGGAGGCTCAGTTGCCACGCGCCACGGAAGGGCAAAGGGAAGACGTGAAGGCACCGGTGGCGAGGCCCCCACCGCCACCGCCAGCTCCGCAAAGAGTAGAAACTGCGAAGGAAGCAGCTGGCAGGTTGCCAGGGACAAACGGGGGAGCGGCCGCCGCGTCCGGGCCCGCGCAGGTGACCTCCACCGACGGCGCTGCTCGGCCCCCGGCGCAACCGTCTGCCCCGACGCGTGGCGGCGCCAACGCTGCCGGCAGCCGCGGCGAGGGGCACACTGCGGGGGCTGCCGAAGGCACTCCACCGTCGCAGGATGCGGCGCAAACAAAAGCCACGCAACCTGACGACTCCGCTGCTTCGCAGACAACCGGCGCGCAGGAAACGACACCGACGGGGCTTGTCGCCAAAAGCGGCACAGCGACTGCTGTCGACGCCAGCCCCCCCACTGACGAAGCGGACGAGAGCGGCAGGGCCGCCGGCCTTCAAGGCGCGTCAGACAGCACAGAGGCTCCGGCAGCGGCCGGGGGAGAAGTATCCACCACACCGTCGGCTACCGGCGCCACCGCCACGAATGCAACGAAGGCGGCGCCCGGCGGCAGCGGGGGTGACGGCAGCACAGCTGCCTTTCACTGCGCCTCCCGCCTTGCGATTTTTCTTTCTGTTGCGTGTGCGGCTGCCGCTGCGATGCTGGCCGCGTAAGGAACAGAGAGAGAGAGAGCCGTGCACACAGCTAGTACTTCTCCTTTTTTTGTTTCTTGCTTTTTGTGCGTGGGACCCCCTGCACGGACTCTCTCGCCCCCCGCCTCACCCCACGAGGCAGACACATAATGTGCCCGTATGTATACACACATCCACTCATGCAGGCCCGTCGGTTTTTTTTATTGTGCGCCCGAGGAGCCGCTGCCGTCCTGCTTGGCTGCATGGGTACAGCACCGTAACTGTTTTTGTCCTTTTTAATTTCTCTCCATTGCCTTCAGTGGGTGATCTCTTGCTTTCTTTCTTCATTCCTGGACTGGGCTGTGCAGGAACCGAGAGAGAGTGTGTCTGTGTGTGTGTGCTGGTCGTCCCAAGTGTTGCTGCGCGTCCCCACTGCTCGGTGGACGCCCCCCCCCCCCCCCAACGCTTCGGCTTCACTTCACTTCACGGGGTTTATTGTTTTTTTTTTATTTCGCCAGTATTATGGCTGAATGCGCCCATCGCGTGGCCTCGTCTGCCGTCGTCTCCTCTCCGCAGGCGCTTGCACCTTGTTTTTGACTGTGTGTCTCTTTTTTCCTTTCTTTTTGCCCTGCTCCAAGCTTAAGAGTCTCTATTGCCTCAGCAAGCTAAGACGCGCCTCCCTCACACACACACGCCATGCTTCATTCGCTACGCGCCTTGCCGCGATCCACGCGGCTGCCGACGGCATTGGCGGTGGTGGCAGCGGTGTGTTGTGTTGTCGGGTGCTTTGCCTCCCCCCTGCCGTACCACTGCAGTTTTGACGCCGTGGTGAAAAATGGCGGCGAGAAGTCTGCCCCGGTGGTGGTGAAGGAGGTCTCCCTCAAAGCGCAGGGCGAGCCGCAGGTGTATCACGTCACTGGGAAGGAGGGATGGGAGCCGATCCGCATTGTGGTGTCGACGAATGATGTGACAGACGTCAGGAAGTTCTGCCTCTCTTCGGGGAGTTCCAAGCCGAATTTGTTGGGCAACGAAGCCGCTGACTGTGGGGATGATGCGATGTCTGCCGTTCAGCAGAAGGCTCTCACCCATGACATCGTCTCTGCCGCCGTCAAACTGCACGCGGAGCGACTGCTGGTGCAGCCGCTGAAGGCTCCGCTGAAGGTGCCCGAATTTGCCCCTGGCAGCATTTGCAGTCGGTTCAGCATCCCCCTTTCGCACCGCACTAAGGGCGTTGACAAGGCCGACATGGTGCTCTACGTCGCCGCTGCGCCAGGCGGGGTGTGGGCGTTGCCGTGCGCCACGCTGGAGAATGGCCGCCCAATCGTCGGCGCCGTGAACTTGGCGCCGGCAAATTTGTTCCTCGGACGCCTCGCCACCCGCATCGCCGCGCACGAGATCGCCCACGCGCTCGGCTTCTCCTACCAGCAGATGACGGCCCACCACATGGCGAAGGCCGTGACCGGCGTGCGGGACAGGAAGGTGTCGGTGGTGGTGAACTCGACTAATGCCGCGATGGCTGCGAGGGAGCACTACGACTGCGACAACATTCAGGGCATGGAGCTGTACGACTTGGAAGGGGACGGGTCGACACTGGAGTCGCACTGGTCGGAGCGCAACGCGAAGGACGAGCTGATGGCCCCGTTCGGGGGCGCCGGCCTCTACACGGAGCTGACGCTGGGCGCCTTCGTGGACCTGGGCTACTACAAGGCGAACTGGGCGGCGGCGGAGCCGATGGCGTGGGGCAAGAAGTCGGGCTGCGAGCTGCTGGAAAAGAAGTGCGCCCAACTCAATTTGTCTGACTACCCCAAAATGTTCTGCAAGGAACACGATGAGTACCTGCGCTGCGCCTCGGACCGGTATTTCAGTGGCCGGTGCACAAGGAGCATCGTTGAGGCGTCGCCAGGAAAGACAGCGGACTCTTGCCCCATCATTGCGCCTGCAATAAACATGAACGACCTTAACGCTGTCTTCAGGACGGGAGGGAGCCGATCCGCGGTGCCTGGCGACAGGCCCTCTTCGTGGTGTCTGGACGTGGATCCCACCACGGTGAAGGATGCGAAGGGCGGGGACAAGCTCGTTGCCGCGGTGCATGCGGAGTTAAAGTGCCTCGGCGGAGAAGTGAAGCTGGGGGTGGATAAGGAAGGCTGGACCGAATGGGTGTCATGCACGGGCGGGGCGAAGGCTACGTGGGACATTCCGCCCTTCGGCGCCGAAAAGGTGATGTGCCCCGACTACAGTGAGGTGTGCACGATATCCGCCACCGGCAGCGGCGTGACCCCAGGGGTTCAATGGGACGGCAACGACAAGGAGTGGAAGAGAAAGGTCCCTCCAGCCCCCGCACCGTCTGCACCGCCTCCGAAGCCTGAGTTGCCTGAACCGCACAAATCGCCTGATCCGCACAAATCGCCTTCACTCCCCCCCGTCGGCCCCCTGTCGCCTCCGGCGGAAGT